GGTTGTTGGGAGTGTTCTTTGCTGCAATAATTAGAGAAAATATATAAATGAAATTTGGTAATTTTTCACAAGAGAAAGAAGAGAGATGAAAAAGAAAATGAATGAACTGTTTCAACTTTCAACTATATAAAATTATATCCATTCACTAAAAGGTTAATGTATCTTAAAATGAATCAGTCAACAGTTACTTAAACCCAATGGTGATAATGTGCAAATCCAAGAATTTCAAGTTAAAAAACAATCGAATGGACAAATAAATTGTTTAAGTTGGCTCCAACGATATTGTTTAATTCAACTTTAAATAAAAATTTTGTTTTCTTTCTTAGCAACAACTTTTTAAAGGGAAAAGTACTCAAGCTGAAAAGTCTAATTGCATATTTGAAAAAGGGTTTGAAGTATTCTCAGCTGAAGTTTGGTTTGAAGTGTTCTCAACTAAAGTTTAGTGTTTAATGAATGAGGGAAGTAGCAGCAACATCTGTAATATGTTAGAAGTTAGAATCAAAAAATTCAAAATGAATTATTTTTGTCCTTCCATTATTTATATTCCATAGAAATTTCAAAATTACAGAATGTTGAATATATAATATGACTTTAACCTCAAACAAAACCCCTTTGTTTCGAAGGACTAGTAAGTAGTGTACTTATATATTTAGTGACTGGTGCCAACTTCCACAAAAATTGTGGTGTGGTTGTTGGGAGTTTTCTGCTGCAAGAATTCATACGATCAGTTTTCTTTCCTTCACCTTTGATTATTTCATTTAAGGAGGGTGGTTTTTTGTTTGCTTCTCAGATAATCCTAGTTAATTTTTTGTTATTGGGTTTGTCAATTAATTGTTTTTCCCTTTTTCATTGGCATGAGATTGTAAACGAGGTAGATTGTCAATTAATTGTGCTGTCATACAATAAATTCATTTGTCAATACAGAAAAAAAAAAAATCAACAATTATTTTGCCACATATTTTCTTGACTTCTTAATTTTTCTTGGTTTGCATGAACATTAGAGAAAATATATACAATAAAATTTGGAAATTTTCCACAGGAGAAAAGAGTAGAGATGAAAAGGAAATGAATAAAATTTTCAATTTTCAACCATATAAAATTATTTTCGTTCATTAAAAGATTAGTGTATCTTGAAATAAATTAGTCAACAGTTGCTTATAACTAATGGTGGTAATATGCAAATCCAAGAATTCAAGGAAAAAAAATGATTGAATAGAGATAAATTGTTTGAGTTGGTACGTACTAAAACAAAATTGTTTAATTCAACTTCAAATAAAAATTTTAAGTAAAAATTTTATTTTCTTTTTTAACAGCAACTTTTTAAAGGGAAGATATAGGGGATCTGTTAATTTGGGGAAGGTAGATATATTACATCTAGTTATAGCATTATTCAACACAAATAATTAAACAAAGTACAGCTTAATACACAAATGCCAAAGGAATCTAAGAAACCATCCAAAGAAACAGTCAAGCACAAAATACCCAAAACAGAAATTACAACATTGGCAGGAGAGCTTCAGCCATTCTTTCCACCGTTTTTCGTACCCTCTTTTTGCTGTAATTCATAGGCAATGGCAACAATGGTGAACAGAAATGTGGAGGATAGGGTTATAATTACCAGCATACGATAGTAATAGTCAAGATGACTTTTGCTAACGTCATTGCCAACCCAGCTACTTGGTGAAGCTGCTGTGAGTATTATACTGACGAAGTTCCCTACACCATCCGCGATTCCGCACACTGCTTTTGCCTCTAAGTCATTTCTTAGATAGTTAGGATGGAGAAATTCTTCCTGTCCTTCCATTATTCCTTTCATCATTCCCCGCAGGAGAAATTAGGGCAGAAGCCACAGCATGCTGGCGGAATTATAATTGGAATCCAATCTGTGAGCAACAAGAGAAGCTACCTTGCAACACAAAGAGGGAAAAACCATACCAACACTGATTCTGAGGAGCCTAGCCCACTGCTGTTTTTTCTTATCATGGTACTGTTCGATTAGACAATGGCACACCTGCTCGGTTGTTTTGGAGACAAGCTCCGGAGAGGAATACAAAACGAGCAGGGATAAATTTTGGTTTATTGGCGCATCTTCTTTGATGTTGGGCTGTGTATCTCAGCGCATTGTGAAGCAGTTTATCTCTGAGCCTGAAAAATAGCTTTTGATGATCCAGCCCAAAAGTCCTCTAGGATAGGTTTGGTATCCATATATTCTATATCTCCTGGGCCTAAAAATAACTTTTGTTGATCCAGCCCAAAATTCCTCTAGGAAATGGTATCTATACATTCTATACTACCTTTACAGTTTGGCCACTATAAAAACAACGGCACTAGAAGCGGTGTGGCTTCTTCACATCTCCGATGGCCGGTGCATACTTCCGAGCAGCCTTGGTGGCTAGCTAGCTGCTTCCACGGCGCCTTACCGCCGTTAATTTTCTAGCTGTCTGCTTGGTGCAAGCCATTTCAAATTCGAAGATGAAAATTTGGTGTAGACCTGAGGAAAAAGGGATTCCGGATTGGGAGGTCTTTTTATAAGGGAAAATTTGGAAAAAAGGGGAAAGACGAAAATTTTGTGTGTTTTTCCAGATATTTGAATTAGCGAATCCAGACCATAGATTGAAAGGTGAGGAAGGATTTCATCAAATGCCAAATGCAAGTTTTCAATGGCCAGACAAAAGGAATTGAAGTTTTTAATATATATCAGCTACCTGAGTTTCATCACAGGTAAAGAAACTTTCTATTCTGTGAACATGATTCTCAAACTTTGTGTTATGGATTATAGTTAATCTTAAGTGCCGTTTTGAAATTCATTAACCCCTGTGTTTCCACTTCTTTAACAATGTCGATTTGAATGCCATTGTTGGTATTTTGAATTTTTTTCATTTCATAGAAGTTAGGATTATGATTTTGAACGTAGCATTTGGCTCCCTATTTAGCTCCCTACAGGAAGTCATAAACGTCTAACTGTTGAAATCTATATTATATGTTCCCATTAATTGATTGGAAAATTTTGAAACCCGTAGAAGAAAGGCAAGAAATATTGAAAAGCTGAAGATAGATGTTATTATTCTCAAATTTAGTTATAACAGAAACTTTCAACTTGGAGATTAAAGGGTAACACACCAGCAACACAGTGCATGGCAACAGAGAAACACAATCTTTTCCAATTA